AGATCAAGGAACAATAGAATATGGTTATATTGTAATTGAATTTCCTTTTTTCTTGTTTTTGTCATCATTTTATTTCTTTTTTTTGTATTGATATTTTGCAACACCATAATACGTCAACTATCAATTTTCATATTTTAATGATAAAAATGTTATATTCTTATATGAAATGGTAGTAATTTGTAAAAAAAAATAAATCAATTCTACTTCTTAATAAAGATAATACAAAATGAACAAGTTATTTGTTTTATACATTAAACTCATTTTTTTAGAAATAAGTTATAATTAAATTCCATAATAATAAATATTATTTATTACTTAATATTTTTAAATACTAAATAAACCATAAGTTTAATTTAAAAAAATTAAAAATGAAAAATAGTTAATTACATACTCATTTAAAGAATAAAAAATTGATAGAAACAATTTAAGGAACATCAATAAAGTTAATTGAATTTTTAGATAATATTGAACGAATAACAGAATTATTTTGTTTTAAGATACACTCTTTTTTTTTAACACTTGTTAACTGTGATAAAAATATACTAACTTGCTCACCTATAGTAGCTATATTTTTTTTATTAAATAGAAGAACTGTTTTGTAATAAACTTCTTCAATAAAATCAATTTTATTTCTATTAAATTTATTTTTCATTTTACTTGTAATAAACATAAATCCAAAGTCAGTTGCAATGTCGACTAATAACTCAAACAATACAACCATTTTTTCTTCTTCTAAACGATGTTTAATATTTTTTTCTGTTGACTTTTTAATATTGGTTTGACTTAAATACCATTGACATCGTTCTATTAGAAATGGTTCAACATCAAAATTTTCTTGACTAAAGTGAAGTGTTTTAACTCTAAATATTTGTTGAGTTTGACTTGATTTTTTTCTTGGTCTTTGAAATGTCAACGAACAAAATCTACTTAATATTCCAATAAGAAAACATAACTGAACAGATCGTTTGTTTTTATTCTTTCTAGAGTCTAATGTATGTTTTTCTTTCTTAGACATTCTTTTATCTTCAAGACAAAGTTCTCTTTTAATCATTTTAATCTTATTAATTTCATTCTACAGATAGTTAGATTATATGTTAAAAAAAGAGTTATTATAAAATACAAATATTCTATATTTATCTTCAGTTATTCATTCTCTTAATCTTCTATTTATTCTAAAGTAAAATAAGTTTGTTTGTCGTTGTTTTATGGAAGTACTCAAACCTCTTAAAATAAAAAATTTAATTAAAATTCTTTCCTTCTTTTCATAACTTCGCATTATTTTTACTGAGTTTGTTTAAACGATCTTCTAGTGCCAAGTTATTTATAATGTTAATGCTTATAACAAGTGATTCTTTTATTCTTTCTTTTTTCTCCATGATTTAATAAGCAGTTTTTTTAAAAAAAAAAATACCTTATTTCATAATAAGAATATTCTTCATACTTTAATAAAAAACTGTACCATATCAAAATCAATAAATTATTTTTTGATTTTTAGTTACATCTTATTCCATGATTTTCATTTCAATTAGTCCATTTGGACTACCAATTTTTCTTACCAAATCCAATGCAACTTTTTTTTCGAAAAAATTATCTTTACTTTTTAACGGTCATGGAACTTTCTATTTTCTGCTCAAGGTATTTTTGTTTATATCCAATAAAAAATAATCATAAAAATTGTCAATAAAATAGTCAAAATAGTTATTTATTCAATCATGTTATAGTTCTGTTTGAAATGTTTTTAACGCGTTGATTAATGAATAAACTCCAATAAGTTTACTTACAATAACAAGAATTTGGCGTTAATCTTTAAATTAATTAAATTGTTAAAGAAAATAAACGTTAAATAAAAATGAGTGAATTAAATTTCATAGGATTTGGTTTTATAACTCATTTTCATCACTTGGATTTGTTTCTTATATTTCTTTTGAGAATCTTGTTGTTTATCTTTCTTATTTCTTTTTTTTTACTTCTTCTTTATCATTCATTGCATGTTTCATTTCTCTTCATTTATTATTATTTTTCTTCTTTTTATTTATATTTTTCATTTCTCTTATCTTTGTTATTATTTTATTGTATTAATTTCTGAATTTTGTTGTATCATTTCATTCTTCCTTATTTTCATTCATTACTTCTTCCTTATTATATTTTTATATCTTATTCTTGCATCATATTTATTCCCATAACAGTGTTTGTTTAATATTCCTCTTGAGTTATTACAATGACAATTACACCATTTCACTTCTTTTCGCTATAAATCAGTTTAATTAAGAATATATCATATGAAATAAATAATATAATAACAATTTATGAAAAAATAGTTATGACTCTCACTATTGTTTATTCATTTAAGTTTATTTCTTCTTGTAACATTATTTTATATTATTTTCATGATATTTCTGTAATTCAGAAAGAAACTAAACTTTTTAGTAATCTAAAAAATAAATTAAAACAAACTTTCTTAATTGAAGAAGAATCTCTTCGTATTGCTTTTTGATCTCAACCCTTCTCATTTTAAATGAAGAAGTTCTTAAATCCATGTTCTTCTGTAAACGGAGTTAATTCAATGTAAATATTTTTTACAACTTCATAAGACTTTCTTCTTTGT